TACTAGCGTAGTCTAATCATAAATCTGCAAAAACTGCACAGGCCTGGGAGGAAGAAAAAAGAGAGGTATTTACGTTGTTCATTTATAGTCTCCCCTTTGGCTTGTTCTATATTTAACTGTCAACTAGATTGAAACTGTCAGCAGAGGTATTAAAATTGTATTGACTTGCTTTAGCTGAGGAAGGGCTATATAAAATAAACACATGCAGAGAAAAGTGCCCAGTGTTGTTGCAAAGAAGCATTTTATGGCAATGAATGGAGTCTGTATCTGAAACCAATTCATGATAGAACCCAAATTCAAAGGTGGAGACAAGGAGACTAGTTTTATAGATGAGAGCAGCAAGCCAGCTCTACTGTATTGAAATAAAGAGGTGAAAGAATTTGTCAGCTCATTGGAATTCATGACCCAGAGAAATTTTTTTACAGCTCATTTACAGGGGACGTACAGTGCAGCAGCATGCTGGAAAAGCCTCTGATATAATCAGTGGGCTTCAGGTGGGTGGCCTGTGAGTTCATAAGTTAGGACACTCAGCAACCTCTTAGCAAGCACCAATGTGGGGGCAAAGAACTTATGTGACCAAATGAAAGTAGTTCATGTAGAGACAATACCTTCTGTTCATCAACATAAACCTGGGTGACTGAAAGAGAAAAGCAATAAAAACCAGTAAGAAATATTCCTGCTAGTGCCATGATCTAGTTTCCTGCAATGACCAAGCATAAATCCAAAGAGGGAAATAACGAAGAGATAAGGAGACTCAGATGAAAAAACTGTAACCCAGAGAGGCATTGGTTCGGGATCTTTTTACTCAGAGCTCCTAAATGATCTTCTGAATCTGACAGAACTGAAACTGGAGCCTAAAAAGGGCTCAGTGAATCCTCAGCCCAGAGTAACCCCACTTTCCCTTGGGACCTGTCCAGGGTTCTGAAGGATCAGGCAAACTTGTTCTTTAGAGTGGCCTCTACTTGGTGATGCTGTGCCCTTACTGCCTGCCTCATGTCATCACACTACTTGATTTCTCAGTATTTACTGAAAGGATACATGGTATAGATATATATAATTTTTGAATAAGCACAAACAGACAAAACACACGAAAAAACCACAAAACCATCTTCCATTACAAATTGTAGAAAGTGTGTTGATTGGTTACAAAAACTTCCATGCATCCCTTCCACAGTCATCACCTACAATTCATATCAAATCATATATTTTAAATCAAATATATTNAGTGTCACTTGATGCAATGAACATGAATTTGGGCAAACTCCGGGAGAAAGTAGAGAATACAGAGGCCTGTTGTGCTATGATCCATGGGAAGACTCAGACATGTCTTAGTGACTGAACAACAAAATATGAGTTTAGCAATAAATTTAAATTACAGAACTCTCCATTCTGTCCTTAGTAGTTCCTTTTATTAATCGTGAGACCAAAAATTTAACCAAGTTTTTATTTCTCAAACTGCTGCATAATGCAAATAATAACTCAGGGGAGTTCCTGATTAAGGTGGAAACATTTCCCAACCTTCTCTTCTAAAAGACCTCCTTCATTTCATATTCAGTCTCATTTTATTCAACTTTTCAGGTTTATCAAGCTATACTCAGATTTGCAAAGCAGTAAACTTTCAGGAAAATAATAAGTTTGTTATATGCCAAAAAGTAGTGAGCCAACATTGTATAACATGACTACCTCTTGTCATGAAAAACTAGGATTGTGCCTTTAAAAATCTAAAATTCCTAAAATTTGTAAAAATTATCTGATTACTCTTTCAATCTGACAATCATTCAAGACAAAACCTTCAGTGTCCAATTATCCCTTCTCTCCATAAACTGCATCTAACTCCCTTGTCTCAAAAATATTTAGCATCTGTGCCATCTCTCATAATAGAGGGTGGATAGGAGACACACATAAAAGTTGTAGACAGCAAACTATACAGTTGAAGACCCGCAGCAGACATTCAAAAGATTGTGTATGATGAAGTTGGGATTAACAAGAAGTCAGAAACCAGAAAAGCAGTTCATTAAGTAAAACAAAGGCATAATACTAGTAAAAGGTTGGAAGTCAGGAAAGCAATCTACAAAGTTAAGTGTCAGACGACTGGAAAAAGAACAAGCAGTCATGCAAAGGTGCTGCTTCTGCACTGATCCATAGCAAAATGAGCTTTTAAAAAACCAGCTAGAAAGACAATACAATACAATAGCAGAGTTGGAAGGGATCTTGGAGGTCTTTTAGTCCAACCCCCTGCCTAGGCAGGAAACCCTATACCNTCAGCTCCTCCCCCCAATAGATGGTCTTTTTAGGCCAGTGGCACATTTGAAATTCTGAGAGCATAAAGTGTACTCATACTATAGTTGCCATACACAAAACACCTTTTTAGAAGAATGTGAACTAGTCCATCAGGATATTCTCTAAATCCTTTATGGTTGCTCTAGTTTCCATAATAATTCCTACAGGTAAATATGATACATCAGCTCATGCTTTGCCACCCAAGTTTACCCCTAAATTTATCATTGTTATTTAAAGAAAACCATTTCAACACTGATTGTATCATGGGAGATATCTGAGAGAATGTCTACTTCTCCAAATCCTAATTCTTAATTCTGTTTAGTTTTATTTTATTTGCTCAATTTCTATCTCAGACAGTCCCGTCTCAGTCAGTAGCTCCTGTGAATTCATCTCACTCCAATCAACAAGGAAAGTTTCTTGAAGCATTCTTAAATTCCAAATCTGGTCCCTTCAAGATACATTCCATTCTCTCTAGAACTCAACTGCTAAAACTTACTAGCCATCCATTTGATTGGATGATCTAAAACTAGTAACACAATAAAACATCCAGTTTGAGTATTTATTCATTTCCAAACCATTCCTCGAGTTGTAAGACTATGCTATAACTTCTTTAAATATTCCCCTTCTTGTTACCTCCAGTGCTTGAAATCTTGCCAACTTCTGGACACTTTTAAAGTAGGATGAAAAACAATATGATGAGATTTCCCTTATTGGTTTTATCCAGAACATGAAACTGCTGAGTACTTTTTAAAGAGTGCATTGATTCGTACAATTTTTGATCTCCCTTAGACTAAAAGGATAGAGTGGAACTCCTTTAAAATTCAATATGGCTAAACTGATGAGATCAGCTTTAGGCTGACAACCAAGCTTTGATGAGCTCACCATCTAATTTTAGGTATGACATAGTCTTTTGTGTTACTAAATGTTAGAATGAACATTTATTTCAAATCATTTATTTCATTTAAAATTAGGAAAAACTGACCGAATGAGCTCCTCAACAGTGAAATAGGCTGCATTGAAAGCAGTAGGTCTTCATTTGTAAGCAGAAGCTGGGACAGTGTTCTATTAAAATAGCAGTAATAGAGACTTTCTGGCTAGGGATTGTAATAAATTATTTTTGAAGTCTCTTCCAACTTGAGGTCAGAAGTCTAACAATCAAATCTATGCACAATGATTATGATTTTCTTTAAGAGATGGTCAGAAAAANCAAAATGAACAAAGCTATGATGGGCAGCAGAGGTCAATTAGTCATTCTAGTAATGACCTATTATTAATTAATTAATTAATTAATACTACCCAATTCAAACAACATGGCAAATGTCAAACAAATTTTGAAACCTGAAATAGCAAAATAATAAATTGTGAAGCATATGACAGAATGAAAGTAAATAAAGAAAAATAGATGTTGTGTGTCTGAAAAAATAGGAAACAATGGAAGAAATATATCTATTCAGAGCGAATGCAGCTTGATTTTGTGAGGCAGGGTTAATGAATACATGCACAGAAGATAGCTTTATTTATGAATAAAAGGGGTGAAAAGAATATCAGAAAATATGCACTAATATCATCTGGGGTACTGTCAGTATATATGAAAGCAGGAATTCCTAGGTTAGCAATAGTTAAATATTATGCCCCAGGAAATGGGGAATATGAAAGAAGCAGACACATGTTTGTTTTTTTTTTTTTTAAGAAAAACAATGCAATGTTCTGAATGAACACAACACGGGGAAAAAGATGATTCAACCAAGGGACATGAATGGATGAGGAAAATGAGACCTGGAATATAGAAAAAAATGATTAGGATATTTAGAAGAGATCAAGAATGATTGAGAATGGTGACAGGAGACAACCTGCTTTGAAAGAGCTCCCTTGTTTTAAAGCCAAATATCTTCCTTATATGTAAATGAGATTTAAAAACCATGATTAATTTTATTGTTTATGAAAAATGTTTGGGAGCATGAGTGAAAGGCACAAGATTAAGAGAGGCACTAAATGTGGGACCTCCCCCCAAAAAACCCCCAACTCTAGGAAAAGAAAGTAGAATCTTATGAGTCTTCATGGCTTTTTCTCTCAGGATGTTTTTCTCTCAACATTTTGCACAGGAATGTTAGTAGTGGTAGCTTTGGAGACAGGCAGAAATCCCCAGGAAAGATTGGCTGACCAGCTAGAATGGGTTGGCAGCAGACAGAGTCTGATGATTGGTTCCAGAACTGGAGAAGTGGTTACAGAGTTCCTACAAGGAGTCGTGGATAGCATGGCAGCTTTACAAATATTGCTAATCAGAAGAAAGATAATTGGTTGCAATGGGAACTGGGTGCTACAGTCATGCAGTGCTATGTGAAACAGAAAAGTGAATAAAGAAATACTTTAAGGTGATAAATAGGCACATAATGAATGTGGATCAAAAATCCGTTTGTGACCATTGGGTTAAGTGAATGCTCAATGGTCATAAGGGTAAAAAATGGTCATATGTCACTTTTTTCAGTGCTGTTGTAACAGCCATGAAATGAATGATTGCAAGTTGAGGACTACCTGTAATCTATTTCCCCAACATCTTTCTTTTAGTATAATTAGTAATTAGTCCCAACATGGAAGTTCCACAATTTCTTATGCAAATACCTACTTTCTATTTTCTAGCAAAATTTAAAAGAAAACACTATTGAAAAAAAAAAGTTGCATTAGAAATACTACGTGGAGCAGCTGTTTTCTTAAGCACATACCTCAAGAAGAAGAGGCCCGAGGGATTCCTTTTCAATCACTCCTTGGCTGCTGGATGAGATATCAGACTTCTGGACATCATCATCAGCTGTTTTTTCTACAATGTAGAAAAATACACTTTTGAGACAAAGAGAATTTACTTTCATTTTTGAGTACAACTTAGCCGTTCCAGAAAAAGTCTGTAGAGAAAGCATAACAAATGTTTAAATCATGTTTGCCAATAAGGTCAGAGACTAGAAATATGCCAAGAAAAAAAGAGGAAAAGAAACCAGGGGGTCACTGTCTAGGAAGGAGGGGAAAACAAGGGCATTCATTTAAAGTCAGAGACAGTCCTTGTTTAAAAAGAGAAACGGAAGATCCCTTTTCTTCGAATGACTGAAGCAGGGTCAGTAATTAGGAAACTCATAAAAATTGGTCCACAAATAGGGAAAAGCAGGAGCCAGGAAGATCTTGGAACAACAGTTGGATTGAGGATGTTCTTACAAAGAGCCAACTGTTGAGCTGCATGAAAGTGAATCCAGCATTATTTCATTCCAATGATTTTTGCTCATGCTGAGGATCTGATTGACCATTTAGTAGGAATGGAAACTAATCTCCTGTACAGCATTCCCAGCCTTTTGAGCTGTGCTGAATTAACATTCCCATTATTCAATAGCCATGTGGCATGGCTGTTGGGAATTATAATCCAACCCATCTGGAGGGGGGTCTCTGGTTGGATAATGTTCTTCTAAAGATAGCTTTCTTCTGCAGTATGTAATTTAGCTCAAAAGCAAGAACTCTCTGCAGGCAAATCACATGCTGTAGCTTCTTTCTTCTAGTGGCACATGATCAACTAACTTTCACAGACTAATCTGGGGAAATTATGCAAAGTGAAAAGAATACAGAGCTTCATCTGTAATTATGACATAGAAAGCCATCTGGATTGGGGATGGTTTTCAATGTTCTTCCAATTCTGTGATTCTGAGATCATAAAAACACAACTATCTTAACTTTTGCTTTATTTTAGGGAATGCTGTAAAAGCTGTGGAATAGACATTGGAAATGCAGTTGGGGTCCTGCATAAAACCTGTCCATGAGTGAGGAAAACAGTCTAAAATAATGTTACATGCTGTGAACATCTCTGTTGTCATGCCAATTCCACTGAATTACTGTTCAGAATTGTTGCTGTGATTTTCCATTCTGAATCTTTAATTGGGATATGGAATCCTTCTTCAAATTTAGCAAAATAGTTTCACACTGCACTTTCAGTTCTCTTATTCAAAACAATCCACTGCTGGTAGAATGAAACATTACCACCTTCTCCACTATGTCTAAAAATTATTTAAGAATGTAGTGTGGGCATTCAAAGTGTATTTTATGAAGCAAAATTATTAAAACATCAAAAAACAATATATCTCCATCCTCTAAACAAAATCTTTATTTAATATATAATTTCTCACATCAGATTTTGGGACTGAATTGATAATTCAGCAAGAAATTCCACAATATGAAGTACCTCTTGAAATTCTAGTCTGGAGATCTGGGAGACCCAGGAAGAATATTCTTTTATTTGAATAAAATATATCAAATAAGGGGGGGGGGGTTCAACCTATTTTCCAAAGCACCAGAAGGTCAAACAAGAAACAATTGATGGAAAGTAATCATGAGAGAAGCAACTTAGAAATTTCCTGACAATGACAGCGACCGAGTGGAACGGCTTGCATTCAGGGGTTGTGGGTGCTCCATCACTGGAGGCTTTTAAGGACAGCCTCCTGTCTGGAATGGTATAGGATCTCCTGCTTAAGCAGGGGTCAGATTAGAAGACCTCTAAAGTCCCTTCAACTCTGATCAAAATGATGGTATTATTTCCACAGGGAAGATCTTCCCACTGGAACTTGTTTTTTCAGACTGTAAGCAGTCAATGCTTTTTGGATAAATGATGAAGGTGGTGATGAAACATGAAATTAAATGCATATCTCCAATAGGTTTGTGGTAATGCTGTTCTTTTATAAACAAAAAGACGAAAACAAATCCAATGTACTTCCACAAAATGAGAAAGGGGAAGAGAAAATAATACCATCGAAAGAGCAGCAAAACGTTGCTTAACCTTGGCAGTAATTTTCAATAGATCCAACCTTCATCAAGAGGATGCTGCAAATGAAGGAATAAGTGTGTCAATAGTATTAACTGTGCATTTGCTGCTTTGCTTAAAAAGGGCAAGATGCAAAATCCAGGAGTCAGCTATAAAACGAGAGGAGCAGAAACTGATGGCACAAGCAGAAACCTGGAGGTGAATGGAATTAGGCCAGCATCAAGAGGGAGAATTCCAGGAAAGTGCTTGGAGTTTTTTCTCTCTCTCTCCTGGACATTTTGAATTTTTTAAAAAGTGATTTATACAAACTAAATAGGTTCTACAGCTAGATTTTGAGGCAGCCAGAAATCTATCTATTAAAACCTATTTCAAATCACAAAGATAGGATTAGAAGAGTGGTCC